GGGGGTAGGTGTGAATGGTGGTGGTGTTGAAGGGGTATTTGAAAATGACACAGCAAAAGAAGGGGGATGGATTGGGGCTAGGCCAAAATTTTAATAAGAATGTTATAAATTTGAACATTATTTAGGGACTGGTCATTTATTATTATATGGAGGGGGTGTCATGAAAAAAATGCTTCATATATTTGGGGTGGAGGCTATGAAAAAATGTTAATGGAGCATAAAATGGGGGGGAGGGGATCAGCGAAATATGATACAGTCCTAAGATCAATCTCTCAACCCCCACCCCAACCTCCCCAACACTGAGTTGACAGCTGACAGAGAGCTAGCTGCAGTATGGATTAACCTGGCTTGAAAAGGTGTACTTATGTGTAGCCTTCCCCTGTCATAGTCAACCAGGGATCTCAATAAATATGGCCGACCTTTTCACACCTCAGGTTATTGCGAGGACTGAAGTGTCACTGAGCATGCCATCAAGAATGCCTCCATTCAATGGCTAACAAAATGCTGGCACACTGTTAATGCTTGTGTGCTTGTGGAAGCTTCAATGGCTGGGTTGTTAGATCGAAGACTGTGTGTGCTGGCGATTAGGTGCCTTACTCTGGCAGTGTGAGTTCGAGTCTGTTTTGACCCGTGAAGATTCCGGGGTAGAATAGGTCTTCAGCAACCCATACCTGCCGTAAAAGGCGACTATGCTTGTCGCAAAAGGCAACTAACGGGATCGGGTGGTCAGGCTCGCTGACTTGGTTGATACATGTCAGCGTATCCCAGTTGCGTGGATTGATGCTCATGATGTCAATCACTGGATTGTCTGGTCCAGATTCGATTATTTACAGACCGCAGTCATATATCTGGAATATTGCTGAGTGCGGTGTTAAACAACAAACCAACAAACCAAATCCAGTCCGTATTTGTGTGCTTGTGGATTAGGTGCCTTACTCTGGCAGTGTGAGTTCGAGTCTGTTTTGACCCGTGAAGATTCCGGGGTAGAATAGGTCTTCAGCAACCCATACCTGCCGTAAAAGGTGACTATGCTTGTCATAAAAGGCAACTAACGGGATCGGGTGGTCAGGCTCGCTGACTTGGTTGATACATGTCAGCGTATCCCGGTTGCTTGGATTGATGCTCATGATGTCAATCACTGGATTGTCTGGTCCAGACTCGATTATTTACAGACCGCAGTCATATATCTGGAATATTGCTGAGTGCGGCGTTAAACAACAAACCAACCAACCAAATCGAGTCCGTATTTGTGTGCTTGTGGAAGCCTCAATGGCTGAGTGGTTAGATCGAAGACTGTGTATGGCGGTGATTAGGTGCCTCATTCTGGCAGTGTGGGTCCCGGATGGGACTCAACCACCAAAATGTACTAGAATCTGTACTTAAATAAGATAGTGTTATCTCAAACATACATTTGTTATAAATATTTCAGCTGTATGACTGTTGTCTGTAAATAATCGAATCTGGACAATCCAGGTATCGATATTATGAGCAATGATCCATGAAACTGGATACAATGATCCATTTAACCAGGTACAATGATCCATGTAACTGGGTACAATGATCCATGTAACTGGGTACTATGATCCATGTAACTGGGTACAATGATCCATGTTACCGGGTACAATGATCCATGTAACCGGGTACAATGATCCATGTAAATGGGTACTATGATCCATGTAACTGGGTACAATGATCCATGTAACTGGGTACAATGATCCATGTAACCGGGTACAATGATCCATGTAACCAGGTACAATGATCCATGTAACCGGGTACAATGATCCATGTAACTGGGTACAATACTCCATGTAACTGGGTACAATACTCCATGTAACCGGGTACAATGATCCATGTAACTGGGTACAATGATCCATGTAACTGGGTACAATACTCCATGTAACCGGGTACAATGATCCATGTAACTGGGTACAATGATCCATGTAACTGGGTACAATGATCCATGTAACTGGGTACAATGATCCATGTAGCTGGGTACAATGATCCATGTAACTGGGTACAATGATCCATGTAACCGGGTACAATGATCCATGTAACTGGGTACAATGATCCATGTAACTGGGTACAATGATCCATGTAACTGGGTACTATGATCCATGTAACTGGGTACAATGATCCATGTAACTGGGTACAATGATCCATGTAACCGGGTACAATGATCCATGTAACCGGGTACAATGATCCATGTAACTGGGTACAATGATACACAATCATGAGTCTGAACATGCTGACCATCCATTAACATGATCAGGTCATCTCCTACAACCAGTATAGGTCGCTGGGGACTTATTCTAACCCGGCATCCCCAGGGCAGTGTCATACTACAAGCATGATAACAATATTAATATGTGAGGACTGAATGAGCGATGATGTGGTTCAAACTACAAGGGTTGCAAGTCAGACAAGAAATACACCTAGGCTGTGAATCGCTTCACTCATACAAGCCCTGAACAAAAATGTCTGTACGGGTAATCTACAACTCCTTGGCTTCATTTCTACAGATTAAGGATCTCTGAAATCAAGCTATACTCTGGTCTCCTTTCCTATTTCAGACAAGAAAAGAAAAAATGTTCATTATCGTGATCACAGACAGTGAACGTTAGTCCATCATTGTCCATGAGCATTGATAACACCAGGTGCTGTGTGATACCACATACCTTTTAACACAATGCACTGAACATGTTGAAAGTTTTATTTGTTGTTTTAAGGGACATAACTATGAACTAACCAGCTAACCGCGATCTTCACAAGAAAAAAATACTTTGCATTTTGGAATTACAGGTACCTTATGAAGGTATTTGGCAAGTTTATAACAAAACACATTATCCAAAATTTATATTTGAAATCGTCTGATATACAGAATATATAAAAAATAATATTGTGTCCGTATCCTTGTAAGAAAGAAAAGTGATTTACCAGTAAACAGTTTTACTGTGCACGCGTAATATACATGACTCAGGCCACACAGTTTTTATTTTTGTTTCACAGGCCTGCCACTCCTACTGAAAAGCAGCCAATCCAAAAACTAAATTAAACATAAAGATATCTATATTTATTATGTCGCCCTCTAGTAATACAGACCCTCTATAAATGAATTCCATCTCTACATGACTATCAGTGATTCAAGAAGCCAGCGGCAGTTTTAACTCCACAGCATAATGACTTTCATATAAATAAATAAATCAATGATTGACATAGCTATTAATTTTTATTTAATCCGAACTTCTGTCGATGAGCTGTAATAAATCTCAAATATGAAATAAAAAAAAGAGTGATCTTAAGAGTCCCCCATGATACTAGTTGTTTATGTTCATTCTTCAAATAGTCAACATTGTTGTTGTTGACTAACAAGACAAAACAGTCCCAATACCTTATTTACATGCCCAATTATCAATATTGCAGACAGTCACATGTGAACGGTATACATCATAACAAAAGTTAATTTGGGTTGAACAGATACAAGACTTATCTCCCCTCTAATAGAATTAAAAACAAAATATTTTACTCCAACAAACATGACATGTCATATGCACTTAAGCATATTAAGATCAACTTGTTTTATATAGCCGTAGGCATTTGTGTGATAGCTGCAAAGTTTTCTTGACAGCAATCTAGACAAACTCTGAAGAACAAAAACATTCAACATGTTCAGTGTTGATGCCTCAAACAATGTAACATTATGTTATACACAGGATATAGCCATAAGGCCACACCTTTATAATTTCCTATTTCACAGGTTTATTTATAACATAAAATTATTTATTATTTAAGAGGGTCTATATTACCATGATTACTAGCGGGAGACATAATAAAAATAGATATTTGTATGTTTGATATATTTCTTGGACCAGCTGCTTTTCAGATGGGGCTGTGAGCCTGTGAAACAAAACATAAAAATTGTGTGGCCTAAAGGAGAACAGCAGACAATGCCTGACCATGATAAAACCCCATGTTTTCACAAGAACAATACCGTATTTGACGTAATAAGCGCCCAGGGCGCTCTCAAAACTAGAAATAGGGGGCTCTTATTAGAATATTATTTTGGTGAAAAAAACAAAGTTGAAAGATAAATTTCATGGTTTATGCTGACAGCCTGTAATGTTTATATACGACAGATATATTTTTCAAGAATTTAATCGCCCATAATTAAGGGTGCATATAACACATGAGTGTGTATTATATATGCGAGTAAATAAGTCTTGTGTACATTGATCAATCAGAAGGGGTGCTAATTGGGATTGTTCACTAGCCAATATATCAGCAAATATCGCCATGGGGGCTTATTAGAGGGGGGCACTTATTACGTCGAATACAGTATTTGTTTTCCTTTCATTAACAGTGAAGGACATGATGGAGAAAGTGACGGTCAAGAGACCCTGACCTGATGCTGACAGCAATATAAAAAGAAAATAACTGACCATGTTAATATTTTTTATAATGTTATCTGACATTTGCCATGTTTGCAAAACTGACTGAGCATTAAAAATGTTGTATTTTTGGCAGTAACAATTCTTTTGCAATAACAGGTATTATATTATATACCATGCTGATAAGTTTATCACCGCTATAAGTTTATCACTGCAATGGCAGAAATTTTAATAATCATGAAAAATGTTGCAAGTACAACACGTTTTTGTTACAGTGAAACATGAAATTTTAAATTGTATATTTATGCCAAACTAGATCTATATTTTTCAAGCAATAGTTACATACAATCAACATTTTATCAATTGTACACTATTGAAATAAGTAAAGAATATCACTAAGTACTTTAAAGCAATGGTTACCTTGTGTTAATTATTTAGTTATATCTCCATGGCATATTATTTTAACAAAGGGTAAATTTTATTATATCTACCAGATTTTTACATATAGATCTAATTTAAGATTTATATGTTTACACAGATTTTGTCAATACATTTGCATACCACCATGAGAAAACATATTTCTGTCACTACTGTCAGATTGTCATGAAACCTCACCTGGGAATGTCACTTCCTAAGAGTCTGACCAAACCCCACAGGAAGTCTTCCGATCCAGAGTGACAGAGGAAACGACCTATTGTACTTTCTTTTGAAGTGTGCAGATCATCCACCAGCATTTCCAGTGCCGAGTGTGATTTCTTATCACCACCGATCAAATGCGAAAAATATTCCTCTGTCAGCCAGTTGCACGACATTTTCGTCATTTGATTTATTCTATCAGGGTACATCCATGTTATCAGTCAATTAAGAAATTATTTTCGAGCACAACATCCACACGTATCGCCTTAGCGTCATGTTGTCATCGTATCCAATGTATGCCGTGAAGTCTCGTTTGGTCTCGCAGGTGCGCGCCGACCCGTGAGATTCAAGATGTCTGCGCCCATGGTGTAAAACTTTCGGATGACTTTCCTGTCAAAAATACTCGATGTGTCATTACTGTAGAAGTTTGCTGTTTCATTCTGATGTCCACAGAGAATGCAAGGTACAGTTCGATGACGCCATATAGAAATGAAATATAAACATAAATATTGTCCTTCAGTTTGTAATTTTACAACTTTTCTTACGTTACAATGTCAAAATCATTTCTCGTGCCAATGTTGACACACCCATAACCTAGAGTAGATATAGTGCACGCTCTTTAATATCAATTTAAATCACATGATTCTGACTACTAACCTTAGAAAACAAAAACATTATTAACTAAGCTCTAACTCTAAGATGATAGGCATTGTTAATTATTTTCTCACACACACACACACACACACACACACACACACACACACAAAGAGGAAAAGACTTACGCCCTTATCCCCCACTCCAGACGTTAAATATGTATGCATTGCTGATCAATCCTTTTAGTAATATATTGTTTTGGGGGTGATGATACTGGCATGTTTTTGAGCCTCACCTCTTTTCGAGACCCTAAACGGTGCGATTATAGAATCTGTTCGCCACCCAATAGTTTAATAAAAACTTGATACATCTAAAGAATAAATATCAAGAATCGCAAAATACTTATAATGCGTGCCTTCACAACTCTATCCTTAGCCTTTGGATTAGACTGAAAAAAACAGTTGTGAAATTATAGTTATAAAATATAATAAAAAGGAGCCCAGAGACTTTCTTCATTTTCAGATACTGCAGTAATCTAGACTTGCCAAACATTATAGACTTGCATGGGCTGTAATGGATATATTTGTTTCAGGGTCTGTATAACAGACTACCCTTGCATCACTGAATAACAATAGTGGCGAACATATTCTATATCTGCTCCCCCTTAACAATATGTGACCACACGCTTAATGGCGTAATCAATCTAGACGCTTCAAAGCCGACTGAAGACATGAAACTGTTAGCCACTTGCCACTGAAGTTATGTTGCAAATTTTGCTACACATGGTAAGATATTCAATAAATAATGAAAAAATACCACAAAACTTACTTTTTCACAAATGCGCATTTTAAACAAACTTAGTCTGATGATAACTTTGTTTGCAAGTTTGTTTCAAAGCACTCAAAACCACCTTGTGTAAATATAATAAAAAAAGCTGAAAGGCTTGATATAATGACCAGTGTTCATTTCTCAACTGATTGTGTGAGGTGTTTCAGACAGGTGTTAAGTCTGATTGGAATGTGACAATTTGCTATTTGCAGTATGTCCATGCTTGTTCAACAAATCCATTGAGTTAAACTTCACATTAATGATCTATCAATCAAAATATTGTCAACTATTCTCTTCAACACTGTTTTTTCAACATGCATAGGCACTTGAGGCCCAAACAGCATGTATAAACACTTACTAACACTTGACACATCCACAGAGTATTATATGTTTTGGGGCAAAGTTACTTTTCGGGACATCAAAATTATCTTTCCTTGTATATAAGTTCAAAAAGTGTTACCATAAATGGATGACATACATCAAACAAACTTTTGATGAATTTGGACTTAGTTACCATGGTTACATCTGGTTATCACAAAATTTCAACAATCCTAATTATCTAAAACATTTAGTCCCTGAAAAATTAAATGCCATTAACCTATGGTTTTGGAAAGTGCAAAAGATAAGTCTTCAAAAGGCACAGTGTGTCGTATAAAAACCATGATTGTCTAACTGTTGAATATTACTTGAATGTACTGACGGAAAACATTTGGGAATACCTACTTAAGTTTAGAACTTGTAACCAAACGTTACCTATAGAAACTTGGAAATGGAAAAAGTAGCTTTGATGAAAAGAAAATGTCCACTTTGTAAACTATCTTACACATGTGATGAATTCCACTATTTGTTTATTTGTCAATCTTTTGAAAATGAAAGAAAACAATTTTTACATAGATTTTACTACATTAGACCCAATATGTATAAAATGAAATTACTTTTAAAAAATCAGCGACCAGGAACATTGCAAAAGTTGTTCAAATTTTGTAAGACCATCATAGACTTGTGATTCCTGTACAATTTATGTATAGAATCTTTCATGTCTATAACATAAAAATAGTTAAGTTTAACCTTCAACTCCATCTTTGTTGGATTTTCTCATTATCATCTATAGGAAAGATCAGTTGAGTTCACTCAACCATAAATTTGGAGCAGATTGCACTATTTGATATAAACTGTATGGTTCGTTCAGTCAAGTGTTTGTTGTGGCCTGTACTGCTGAAATGTACAAGTTTCACAAGGCACGAGAGCTCCACACCTTTATGAACTGTGTACTTGACAGTACTTTATCAGCAGGTAAATGTACTCAATGTTACCAAGGGGGCAGGGGTGGCCCAGTCGTCAATTTGCTGTGCAGAGTTGCATCCCTTGAGCATGCCAGAAACCTATGATTGTGGGTTCAAATCCTGGTTACCCCTGATTTTGTCAACAGCATATCTGTGCTCGCAGGTCCCAACTCTTACAAGGAGCCACACACAGACGTGCATACACATCAATATGTTAATGAAATGATCTTGAATGTGAAGTTAAACCCTATTTATCATCCAAAACTGGCTCCCACAGGAGATATTGCTTGGGTGAGATCAAGCGATATCTACACTGTAGATGTCGCTGCAATGAAATTGCATCACAATGCTTTGCAGGCCATTATGACGTCATTGGTTACCATGACGTCACAATCAAATGACATCACTAATGGCTCTGCTACTGAAGCTGTTTTTACATTTAAGACACTGCTTATTACTGTCTACAACATGTACAAACTGACAAAGTTGGAAGAATGATGTTGGATGATAAATAAAATCTCACCCGAGTGTCTTTTGATATCAAATATATCAACACTTGTTGATAAAAGTGGAAAAAATCCTCGGCAAGCCTCAGAGTTTTCCAACTTTTATAAACTCGTGTTGATATATTTGATATCAAAAGACACTCGGGTGAGATTCTCTATTTCCCCTCACCTCACTCACTCATCATGTTATTTCCCTTGTCAGGTACACGGCTGATGAAGACCGGGAGTTGTGGATGCCTCCCCTGATGCAGCAGTGACTGGACTATGGGCAACTACAAGTCAAGGCCAACCATATCATGTTCAGGTGTGTTCATTGGAAGAGGGGGGCGGTCGGGTAGCCTAGTGGTTAAAGCGTTTGCTCGTCATGCCGAAAACCTGGGTTCGATTCTCATCATGGGTACAATGTGTGAAGCCCATTTCTGGTGTCCCCCGTCGTGATATTGCTGGAATATTACTAAAAGTGGCGTAAAACCATACTCACTCACTCACTCATTGGAAGAGAGGTAGCCTAGTGGTTAAAGTGTTTGCTTATCACACCAAAGACCCGGGTTCGATTCCTCACATGGTTACTATGCCTAAAGCTCATTTCCGGTTTCTCCTGCTGTGATATTACTGAAAGCAGCGTAAAACTATACTCATTCACTCACTACTCATAGAAGGAGGAGTGTGGGTAGCCGAGTGGATAAAGCGTTTGCTTGTCACACTGAAGATCAGGTTTGATTCCCCACATGGTTACAATGCGGGACTCACTCACTCACTCACTCACTCACTCACTCACTCACTCACTCACTCACTCACTCACTCACTCACCCACCCACCCACCCACCCACTCACTCACTCACTCACTCACTCCGCATGAAGAAAGTAATAATGTTCTGAAATTTATTTGCGACTTTGGCTCCTGGCCCTAAGCCAGTGTCTAGTAAATCTCCTTTCTGTCAAGTAAGTTCAGCTCATAACTGTCCAAATATTAACATTAAACTCTGCTGAAAATGACATGTGATCGCCTCTGTGGTCTAGTGGTAGAGCATGGCATCGGCACAAAGGGCCTAAAACAAGGACTCGTTGGGTCGGAGTCAGTATACAGTGTCTGAGTGGGGTATTCATGTTAAACTGCAGCATGGTATCTCAGTAGGCTTGCACTCTAAAATCGACACTAGTCCGGACTAGTACAAGCAGCCACACACACACACATGCATGCCTGTCGCTATATAAGTGCAATAATCTCGAACACGTTGTTTAACCCAATTTCATCTCACCCATGATACATGTGAGTTTGTTTCAGATGAGCTGAAAAAGAAGATCAGTGAGAGCTATGCCCTGTTCAGGTCCAAGGCCATCGAGGACCTGCGCCCTAAGGAGACGGAGTGGTCAGAGATTCAGGTTGCGTGCAGGTCAGATGTAACAGTTTTATTTATTGGACAATCTGAACACATTATTTGGATCAGGGAATCCAGGTGGCCCAGTCTCTTAGGTGCTGCAATTGTGCAGAGTTGCTTCCCTTGGTTAAGCCAGAAAAGATCCCGGTTCGCCTGATTATGGTTGTAGGTCTGTCAGCACCATACCCATGCTCGTGGGTACCAATGCTGTAAACATCTACGACTTGCATCACTTCGGGCTTTCCTCCTACACTCACAAACTCACAATTACTTGGATCATGGATCCACATTCTACAAGTTTTAAATAAAATGTTTGTAAATGTTTCGGTTCCTGTGACCATAAACATGCAATAATATGACTACTGGTCACCTTGGTAACAGTTATTTTTCTTGTTCCTAATGCTTAAAAATAGCAGCAAAACTGAATTTACATGCACTTGATTTAACATCATTAAAACTCAAAATTTGATGTCAGTTTCTTTCATGAGTCTTTGGGGGCGGTCGGGTAGTCTAGTGGTTAAAGCGTTCGCTCGTCACGCCGAAGACCAAGGTTCGATTCCCAACATCTGTACAATGTGTGAAGCCCATTTCTGGTGTCCCCCGCCATGATATTGCTGGACTATTGCTAAAAGCGGCGTAAAACCATACTCACTCACTCACTCATGAGTCTTTTTTTTAAGTTCAGTGAACATGAGGAATGGCAGCACTGACTTCATTACTTACTCATGTCTATGACCCAGTAACCTGGGTGGCTGGAATTATTCCGATTGTTCGTGTAGAATTTATCCAGTGCAACAGGAGTAAAATCTCTTTAAATCCCTGAAATATTTAATTGAGTAAAAATGGTTGGTGCAAAACTATAGTGAACAAAAAGGGATCTTCAAGATTTTTGAGGATTTTTTTATTAAATTGTGTGCTCAGTCTTCCCTACAAAAAATATCTCCCAACATATTCATGATCCATCAACTTGTTTTGTTCAGTAAAGTTGTTCTTCACACAAAAACTATAGTTGATTTCCAATGTTGGTACACTGATTGAAGCCTATTCTTGGTGTCGAACAAGGCATGATACTACTTGCCTTTGATGAGTGAGTGAGTTGGGTTTAACACCGCTTTTAACAGTATTCCAGTTATATCACGGCGTGTCAGCTTAATGTGGGAGGAAAGCCCGAAGTGAAGCAAGTCTTAGACCTTTACCACTTCAGTGAAACCCACGAGCACGGGTATGGTGCTGACAAAGCTAGAAACATAATTAGGGCGAACAGGGATTTGAACCCACAATCATAGTTTTCTGGCGTGCCCAAGGGACGCAACTCTGCACCGCCAATCGCGGCGCCTTAGACGACTGGGCCATCCGTGCCCCCTCTTGCCTTTGATACTACATGTAGTGACAAAAACATGACTGCCTTCACTGACTCTGAGTCTTGTGTGCAGCCACTGTGATACCCAGCGAGTCCAGGAGTTGCTCACGGATGATGCTGTGCACGACAAGACGGACTCCGGCCTCACTCTCCTCCACATCTGTTGTCTCTCTGGAGGTGAGTTGAGATTAGAGATGACTGATGTCTCCACTTACCCATGTTTGTCTGACTGTGGGAACTCAAGGGTAAAATAGGTCCCCAGTGCCCAATGTTTGTCTGACTGTGGCAATTCAAGGGTAGAATAGGTTCCCAGTACCCAATGTTTGTGTGACTGTGGTACTTCAAGTGTAGAATAGGTTCCCAGTACCCAATGTTTGTCTGACTGGCAATTCCAGCGTAGAATAGGTCCCCAGTTCCCAATGTTTGTCCCCCAGCTATGATATGATATGGTCTTTGGGCATGGTGATGTTAACAATGTTATCATATATATGTTATTCCATCAGCATTATTCACGTCTCTCCTTCCTCCTGGCTTCTCGCAGCTGGCCGAGATCTGATAAAACTGCTGCTGGATCGAGGAAGTGATATTGACAAGCTGTCAAAAAACCAGTTCTCTCCATTGCATCTTGCCAGTTACAAGGTAATAGTGAGTGAGTGAGTGAGTGAGTCAGCCAGCCAGCAGATGAGTGATAGGTGGGTGGATGAGTGACTGAGTGAAAAGGTGAGTGAGAAGGTGAGTGAGTGACTAGGGTGTGTGTGCGTGAGTGAGAGTTCAGTGTGTGGTGTGTGGTGTGTGTGAGTGAGAGAGTTTGTGTGAGTGGATGAGTGAGTGAGAGTGTTGGAGTGAGATATTTGTGTGTGTGTGGGTGAGTGAGTGAGAGTGTGGGAGTGAGGTGTGTGTGTGTGGGGGGGGGGGGGGGGGGGAGTGTGAGTGTGTGGCAGAGAGAAAGAGTGAGTGAGTGAGTGTGGGTGTATAAGCTTAACTTCATTTACAAATGAAACCTTTAAACTCCAAGGGGACCTGAGAGCTATTTGCTAGCTATTGTGTTGCATGTCGATATCTCATTCCATGACAGCAACTCGGTTATCGTGTTGATTAACCATATCTGTACAGACGCATGTTGGTAAGACATTCTACATTCAGTAACAAGCCTTCTAAACTTGCAGACCGCCTCCGTGGTCAAGTGGTAGAGCGTCTGCCCGGAGAGCGGTAGGTCCGGGGTTCGAACCCCGTCCGCATCATACCAAAAGACGTTAAGAGATGGTGCTTGTTGTTACCCTGTCTGGCGCTCGGCATTAAAGGGCTAAAACAAGGACTGTGTCTGAGTGGGGTATCCATGTTAAACTGCGGCATGATATCTCAGTGTGTTAGCACTATAAATCGGCATCAGTCCGGACTAGTACAAGCAGCCACACACAGACGTGCATGCACGTCGCTATATAAGCGCAATAATCTTGGACGCGATGTTAAACCCAATTTCACCTCACCTCTAAACTTGCATGGATGTGTGGACAGGGAGATGTGGACTTGGTGGAGTGTCTGGCCGAAGCAGGGACAGACGTGAATCAGTTCGGCAACAGTGACGTCACGGCGCTGCACATCGCAGCCATGTGCGGGCATCATGAGGTGAGGCTCCAGTGGGGTGAGGGAGCAGATCCAAACTTGGACGTTTGATAAAATAATTAGTCCATTAAGTTTTGAGACATACCCCTACACACATGAAAACTTTACTGTGAAAATGTTGACATCCCAAAGATATTTTGAGAAAACAAAACACAACTCATATACAGTGAGTGTGAGTGAGTTGGGTTTAACGCCGCTTTTAACATTATTCCAGTTATATCACGGCGTGTCAGCTTAATGTGGGAGGAAAGCCCGAAGTGATGCAGGTCTCAGACGTTTACCACTTCAGTGAAACCGACGAGCACAGGTATGGTGCTGACAAACCTAGAAACATAATCGGGGCGAACCAGGATTCCTACCCACAATCATAGGTTTCTGGCGTGCCCAAGGGATGCAGCTCAGCGCAGCGATCATATACAGAACCATTATATACGTATATAAAGTTTATCAAAACATATACTACCCAAATATTTTTTAGAACCACCCAATACTTTCTTATTGCTATAGTTAATGTATCTGCTTGACACATTAACCGTAATAATATTTAATGATTGGGTGATCCCTAACTTTTTTGAGTAGTATAGCACAACAGAAGTTAAGGAGCATCAGAGGCACTAACACACCAAGGAGCAGTGGTTGCATTAAGGGCCTGCCTTTAGGGTTCAATCAACCCGGGAAAGGCCTCCCTACATAAATGTATTCCTTGACAAGTAAAGTACTAGAATGCTGTATTTGACTACCGTTGGACTTAGAATCTTTAAGGATTTTTTTTTCTTTTTAAAATGGAAATAAAACCGAAACATGCAGTGAACGTGATGATGATGTGGGCAGTGCCTGAGAACAAGACTATTATTTTATTTTATGGTCTGCAATCAGTGCAGTCTCGATTTATCTGTCACAATAAGCTACAGAGGGGGCACGGGTGGCCCAGTCGTCTAAGGTGCCGTGATTCGCTGTGCAGAGTTGCGTCCCTTGGGCACGCCAGAAACCTATGATTGTGGGTTTCGAATCCCGGTTCGCCCGATTATGTTTCTAGGTTGGTCAGCACCATACCCATGTTCGTGGGTTTCACCGAAGTGGTAAACTTCTGAGACCTGCATCACTTCGGGCTTTCCTCCCACATTAAGCTGACACGCCGTGATATAACTGGAATACTGTTTAAGCGGCGTTAAACCCAACTCACTCACTCACTCACATTAAGCTACAGGCTTTTTTTTTCAAATGAGGTCCTGAAGTGTTTAGTCAGGACCTGCAGCTTCTAAAGTCTGTGGGTCCTGATGGCAGCCTGGTATTTTGTTTTATTTCGAACACTGCCAAGGAAGTTTTTGAACTGGTATCCAGTTACTTGTATTCACCTTATTTTGTCAATCATAGTAATTCTGTTCATTTTTAAAGCAAAACTATGTGGATAAGAGCTAATATTGTTTACTTTAAGTCCTCTGAAAAATAAATTATGTTGGATAGAAATTTTTGAGACCTGTTGACCCCCACTCCTCGACTTAAGGTATTAAAACTGCTTTTTGTCATAATATTTTTTGTAATTGACTAAAATTGTTTTGTTTTTGACGTGTTTGTCTCTGATTTGCAGATAGCAAGAGTGTTGTTTGAACATGGTGCCACAGTTGATGTAGAAGATGCTGTCCGATTCTCCCCTCTCCATGTAGCATCCTATTTCGGCCATGAAAAGGTAACATGACGAACAAATTATTCCATTGCCATGGTTACCTTGAGTTATCTCCCTTTTGAATAGCCATTTCTTTGTGTCTTTTGTCACTTTATCAGTTGTCTTTGGTTTTGATTATTTCTTAATGGATTTAAGTGTTTGTTCTTCCAGATGGTTGAACTGTTGATATCACAAGGTGCGGACATCAACGTGAGTGGGGGTGTGGGTGATCGCCCTCTACACCTGGCCTGTGCTAAAGGTTACCTGAAAATCACTCAGCTTCTGGTGGAGGGGACATCTCAGCAGAAGGCAGACGGTAAGATGTGTGATGTCACAGAGGCAGACGGTAAGCTGTGTGATGTCACAGAGGCATACTGTAACCTATGTGATGTCACAGAGGCAGACAGTAAGCTGTGTGATGTCACAGAGGCAGACAGTAAGCTGTGTGATGTCTCAGAGGCAGACAGTAAGATGTGTGATGTCACAGAGGCAGACGGTAAGCTGTGTGATGTCACAGAGGCAGACGGTAAGCTGTGTGATGTCACAGAGGCAGACTGTCAGCTGTGTGATGTCACAGAGGCAGACAGTAAGCTGTGTGATGTCACAGAGGCAGACAGTAAGCTGTGTGATGTCACAGAGGCAGAAGGTAAGCTGTGTGATGTCACAGAGGCAGACTGTAAGCTGTGTGATGTCATAGAGTCAGACTGTAAGCTATGTTATGTCACAGAGGCAGACGGTAAGCTGTGTGATTTCACAGAGGCAGACAGTATGCTGTGTGATGTCACACAGGCAGACAGAAAGCTGTGTGATGGCACAGGGGCAGACTAAGCTGTGAGATGTCACAGAGGCAGACGGTAAGTCGTGTGATGTCACAGAGGCAGACAGTAAGCTGTGTGATGTCACAGAGGCAGATGGTAAGCTGTGTGATGTCACAGAGGCAGACGGTAAGCTGTGTGATGTCACAGAGGCAGACAGTAAGCTCTGTGATGTCACAGAGGCAGACAGTAAGCTGTGTGATGTCACAGAGGCAGACAGTAAGCTGTGTGACTATGTCACTCTTGAACAATCTATTTCATAACATCACTAAGATGAACATCTTGGATGGAAGTTGTCATGGTGATTGTTCTCTTCTCAGTGAATGTGAAGGATGATGAAGAACATCGCCCGGTTCACTTCTGCTGCAAGAGCGGCCATCTTGTTATTCTGCACTACCTCCTGGACCACAAGGCTGATCCCCATGCCACCAACATCTACGGCGACACTCCACTGCATCTGTAAGTGGAGTCCTACGGTTCAGCATGGTTTCTTAGGGCATGATGAATCCAAAGGGAGATAACTCCATGCATTGCCTACTATATGTCAGTATGACTTTATAGTTCATAGATTTGTTCAATAAGAGAAGGATTGATGCATATATAGCTTCCTAATCTACGTAAGCCTGGGTGTGAGTTACATAATAGAAGAAGTTTTTGTTTAAAAAATGTACTATAATTATTGTTTAAATCTGAGATATTTTTTCTTTCTTGTTGCGATGGTTCCAAATACATTGAAATTGCCATGAAATACATGTGTGTATGTCCTTGGAACTTCTATACTTTGGGTACAGAGGAGAATAAGATGAAATAGCAGGTGAGCTACAGGGGCTGTGGCACTATCTGACAATAATCATGGCCTGAGGACCAAGTGTATTATATACTTGTCTAAGATGCAAGTGATTGTTTATTTCAGAGCATGTTACAATGCCAAGGTAGAGGTTGCTAAGCAACTGATCAACCTGACAGAGTCTGAGAGTCTGCTGACAGAGAACATCTTCAGTGAGACGCCATTGCACAGGTGAGTGAGCGCCAAACAGACCCAGAAATCAAAAGTACTGCATCGTGAATGTTATGTAAATAACAATTATATAATGAGAAATAAGAATGAGTGAGTGAGTGAGTTGTGATTAATGCCACTTTTAACAGTATTCCAGTTATACCGTGGCGTGTCAGCTTAATGTGGGAGGAAATCCTGAAGTGATGCAGGTCTAAGATGTTTACCACTTCGGCAAAACCGACTAGCATGGGTATGGTGCTAACAAACCTAGAAACATAATCGGGGCGAACCGGGATTCAAACCCACAATCATAGGTTTCAAGGGACACAACTCTGCACAGCGAATAGCAGCGCCTTAGACGACTGGCCACCCATGCCCCATGAGAAATAAGAACAGAAGTATGTGTCATATGCACACTTATATTTCTATATGCATTCCTCTCTGACCCCAGTGCCTGTACAAATGGTCGGAACCTGGAGCTGGTCAAGTTCTTGCTGGAGCAGCCAGTTGTCAACATCAACTACCAGGGCAACGACGGACACACAGGTAACCAGGGCAACATGGTGGTGCCATGGTAACATGGCTCATGGGACAGAGTGAACATTTCACTGGGCGGGGCGAATCTAAAGTTTTTTGCAAAGTAGATGCACGCTATACATGTTATACCCAGTCAATAAGTGAAGATAAACACATTATAGGTTGAAACCTAAGGTGTCAGCAAACACGGGGGTGCACACATGCCTGTGTTTCATGATTTACTAAATAGCAAAGGGAGATAACTTTAAAGGATGTCATCATACCTTCGCTGCAGACCAGTAATCAATTATCATCAAAATTTTGGACAATCTTTTCACTGAGCATTTTGGGACAAATTTCAAGATTAAAGAAAAATTGAAATGTGACAACTTCTCTTTCACGATGAACATTTTCCCAAATGTAAGACAGAGTTTCTGAATAAACAGGATCTGGACTAACAAGCTTTCACTGTACTTTTACTGTACTTCTTGTAATTTTGTTGCCTGTATTTGTGCAAGTAATTGTGTGCATGTTACCATGGTTACAGCACTGCACAGTGCTTCCTACCACGGCCACATCCGGCTTGTTCAGTTCCTGCTGGAGAGTGGGGCAGACATGAACCTTGTTGCGGCCGTTAGTGACCAAAATGGCGGCAGTGAGAAGAAAGAGGAGCAGACGGCTCTGATGTGGGCCTACGAGAGAGGTGAAGTGGATGGCCTCAAGGTCACACGAGCTTGAACAATATTGTTGAACTATGAATTTGTACTCCTTTTATAGAATTATTGTAAAAATAATATAAGTTGGTACTGCAAACTGATTGAAATTTTAAATGGGATTGGATCCCAGAAATGTTTTAGACATTTTCTGAATATGAATGTTTTATTTTTTCTCACTCCTAAGAGATGTTCATTCCACATAAAATTTCCAGTCATTCAATACTCAATAACACCACGACATTTCTGGCAACACACCACTAAATCTATGTGTGCCGTCCTACAATTAACTTTTCGGAGGGATTCTGAAGGCACTGTGGCTGTCCACAGAGAGATAACTTTGATTAATGAGCTGTATATTTTTACTGATCTGCAGGTCATGACCAGATTGTGACGCTAATCAAACATCACAAACGACCCCAGGATGAATCGGCCTGTGGTGACTACTCACAGCCTGGGGGGGACGGGTCCTATGTGTCCGTCCCCTCCCCCCTGGGGAAGCTCCGAAGCATGACCAGAGGTAGGTGCCACACTACACAATGGGACAGATGCTGTACCACACAGTGTAGACAGGTCTTTGTGTGTCTCCATTATAGTGTTGTGTCATTTGATTGTATGGCTGCTCATAGTGTTGTGACATTTGATTAGATGGCTACTCATAGTGCTGTGACATTTGATTGTATGGCTGCTCATAGTGTTGTGTCATTTGATTGGATGGCTGCTTATAGTGTTGTGACATTCGATTAGATGGCTACTCATAGTGTTGTGTCATTTGGTTGTATGGCTACTCATAGTGTTGTGTCATTTGATTGTATGGCTACTCATAGTGCTGTGACATTTGATTGGATGGCTACTCATAGTGTTGTGTCATTTGATTGTATGGCTACTCATAGTGTTGTGTCATTTGATTGTATGGCTACTCATAGTGCTGTGTCATTTGATTGTATGGCTACTCATAGTGTTGTGACATTTGATTGTATGGCTACTCATAGTGTTGTGTCATTTGATTGTATGGCTACTCATAGTGTTGTGTCATTTGATTGTATGGCTACTCATAGTGCTGTGACATTTGATTGGATGGCTACTCATAGTGTTCTGTCATTTGATTGGATGGCTACTCATAGTGTTGTGTCATTTGATTGTATGGCTACTCATAGTGCTGTGTCATTTGATTGTATGGCTTCTCATAGTGTTGTGTCATTTGATTGTATTGCAACTCATAGTATTGTGTCATTCGATTGTATGGCTACACAAAGTGCTGTGACATTTGATTGGATGGCTATTCATAGTGGTGTGTCATTTGATTGTATGGCTACTCATAGTGCTGTGACATTTGATTAGATGGCTTCTCATAGTGCTTTGACATTTGATTGTATGTCTACTCATAGTGCTGTGTCATTTGATAGTATGGCTACTCATAGTGTTGTGGCATTTGATTGTATGGCTACTCAAAGTGCTGTGACATTTGATTGGATGGCTATTCATAGTGTTGTGTCTTTTGATTGTATAGCTACTCATAGTGTTGGGTCATTTGATCGGATGGCTATTTATAGTGTTGTGTCATTTGATTGTATGGCTTCTCATAGTGCTTTGACATTTGATTGTATGGCTACTCATAATGTTTTGTCATTTGATTATATAGCTACTCATAGTGTTGTGTCATTTAATTGTATTGCTACTCAAAGTGCTGTGACATTTGATTGTATGGCTACTCATAATGTTTTGTCATTTGATTGTATTGCTATTCAAAGAGCTGTGACATTTGATTGTATGGCTACTCATAGTGTTGGGTCATTTGCTTGGATGGCTATTTATAGTGTTGTGTCATTTTATTGTATGGCTACTCATAGTGCTGTGACATTTGATTGGATGGCTTCTCATAGTGCTTTGACATTTGATTGTATGGCTACTCATAGTGCTGTGTCATTTGATAGTATGGCTACTCATAGTGTTGTGGCATTTGATTGTATGACTACTCATAGTGCTGTGACATTTGATTGGATGGCTATTCATAGTGTTGTGTCTTTTGATTGTATAGCTACTCATAGTGTTGTGGCATTTGATTGTATTGCTACTCATAGTGCTGTGTCATTTGATAGTATGGCTACTCATAGTGTTGTGGCATTTGATTGTATGGCTACTCATAGTGTTGTGTCATTTGATTGGATGGCTACTCATAGTGTTGTTTCATTTGATTGTATGGCTACTCATAGTGCTGTGTCATTTGATTGTATGGCTACTCATAGTGTTGGGTCATTTGATTGTATTGCAACTCATAGTATTGTGACATTTGTTTGTATGGCTACTCAAAGTGCTGTGACATTTGATTGTATGGCTACTCATAGTGTTGTGTCATTTGATTGTATGGCTACTCATAGTGCTGTGACATTTGATTGTATGGCTACTCTTAGTGTTGTGTCATTTGATTGTATGGCTACTCATATGAATAGCCATCCAATCAAATGTCACAGCACTGTGAGTAACCATACAATCAAATGACCCAACACTATGAGTAGCCATACAATCAATAGACACAACACTATTTGTAGCCATACAATCAATAGACACAACACTATGAGTAGCCATACAATCAATAGACACAACACTATGAGTAGCCATACAATCAAATGACACAGCACTATGAGTAGCCATCCAATCAAATGTCACAGCACTATGAGTAGCCATCCAATCAAATGACACAACACTATGAGTAGCCATCCAATCAAATCTCACAGCACTATGAGTAGCCATACAATCAAATGACACAACACTATGAGTAGCCATCTAATCAAATGACACAACACTATGAGTAGCCATCCAATCAAATGACACAACACTTTGAGTAGCCATCCAATCAAATATCACAACACTATGAGTAGCCATACAATCAAATGACACAGCACTATGAGTAGCCATCCAATCAAATGACACAACACTATGAATAGCCATCCAATCGAATGACACAACACTAGAGTAGCCACACAATCAAATGTCACAGCACTATGAGTAGCCATCCAATCAAATGACACAACACTATGAGTAGCCATACAATCAAATGACACAACACTATGAGTAGCCATACAATCAAATGACACAGCACTATGAGTAGCCATCCAATCAAATGACACAACACTAGAGTAGCCACACAATCAAATGTCACAGCACTATGAGTAGCCATGATACAATCAAATGACACAACACTATGAATAGCCATCCAATCGAATGTCACAGCACTTTGAGTAGCCATACAATCAAATAACAAAACATTATAAGTAGCCATACAATGAAATGTCACAGCACTATGAGTAGCTATCCAATCAAATGACACAACATTATGAGTAGCCATACAATGACATGTGACATTTGATTTGATGGCTACTCATAGTGCTGTGACATTTGATTGTATGGCTACTCATAGTGCTGTGACATTTGATTGGATGGCTACTCATAGTGCTGTGACATTTCATTGGATGGCTACTCATAGTGCTGTGACATTTCATTGGACATTTATTCATTGCACTGCTATTTGAATCGGGCTGCAAGGAAAGCTTTGGGAGGTGAATGTGTTCAGTGCCTTTATCATCATAGAAAGGGGAGGTAAGTAAGAGTGAGTGAGTGAGTAGGGTAAACCGCCCCATGTAAGTAAGAAGTGCTCAAGGCTGAATGTCCCTCCTACTGACTGTTTCCCCTGCTGTGTGTGACAGAGAAGATCGATGTGCTGCAGCTGCGAGCCACCCTTCCCTCCCGCTTCCATCTGCAGATCACAGACATCGAGTTCCAGGAAACCATCGGCAGCGGCTCCTTCGGGAAGGTCTACAAGGGAAAGTGCAAGGGAAAGACAGTAGCCATTAAAAGGTACAGTCAATGCTAACCCCAATTTGTTCAAGAGGAAATGATAAAAAATTTATAAATGGAAGATTTCATGTGGAATTTTTATTCTTCGTGCTGAACACACTAACTGTATAAATTACTGACTGCCATTTTCGTTTGTCTGATTTGGTTTGCCTTTATCACAGACTTGCATGTTAATCTAAATTTCCAAATACTTGCACCTTTGATGTTATAATTAGCAGGGGAGGTGGGGTAGCCTACTGGTTAAAGCGTTCGCTCATCACACTGAAGACCCGGGTGTGATTCCCACATGGGTACAATGTGTGAAGTCCATTTCTGGTGTCCACTGCCGTGATATTGCTGGAATATTGCTACAAGCAGCATAAAACCATACTCACTCACTATAATAAGCACTTGTACAAATGACTAAAATAACTCTACTGATAATTGAAGACGTAGGTTTACTGTGTTTACAAATAAATTGAAAATTCCTGGCCAACCTTTGACTTACTTCGTCAATCCGGACTCAAGCATACAGTATATTGCACATATTTTCACTTGTTAAATAACTGTGATCATATCCATTGGAATTCAATTTAGAAATCATGCTTGTTCCAGTCACCATTATGAGATTGTTAGTTCCCCTTGATGGCTCCTCACAGTGATACCTGTACTGATACTAATGTCTAGTGAAGGTAGCATGCACTGCAAGTGACCTTGACAGTGTCAGGAAGAAGGTCAAGGTTGTTCAGATGGGGAAAGACACATTTAGTAGCTTTGACCTTTTTAAGAATTTTTTAAGCATTACTGAAATATGATCAATTAATTGTTAATACATATTATATGACCTCAATTTAATGAAGGTCCCTGACATTTTAGTAAAGGAGAAACTTACAGCCCTCTCAGTATGTTAGGAAACCATGCTTGTCGTAAAAGGCGACTAACAGGATCAGGTGGTCAGGCTCGCTGACTTGGTTGATGCATGGCATCGATCCCAATTGCGTTGATCGATGCTCATGATATCAATCACTGGATTGTCTGGTCCAGACTCGATTATTTACAGACCGACGTCATATATCTGGAATATTGCTGAGTGCGGCGTTAAACAACCAACCAACTCAGTATGTTCTTCCCTGTCAGGGTTTACAGTCCCAAGTAATCACTGGGAAAAGTGGTTTGTCCAACTTATAAAGTGACTCAGATAATAAGAAAACATTGAGGTACTTTATGTGAAACAGTAGTGTGTGTCGCGTTATAAAAGTAATTTGATCCAAGCATGCGAGAGAAAAACCATGTGCAGCATGGACCAACTGGATTCCTGACATGTAAAATTGAACAACTTTTCATCACCTGCCCTGGTGGCTCAGTGCGAAGACAGTGGGTTACAAAAGTAAACACGATATGTGAGGTCCCAGGTTCGATTCCTGTCATCCAAAATGAAAACTTTCATTTCTTGTCTTCGATTTTAGAACATTGGACGTTTGAAACACCAGTTACAATATTTTAAGTATAAAAGTGTTGAACACACAATGCCATTTAGAAAGTGGTCAAATGTAACAAATGTTATATTTGGGATAACACTTTCTTTGTAAAGTACAGATTTTCGTACATTTTTAAGTTGAGTCCCATCTGGGATTTGAACCCATACTTCCAGACCTAATGACCAGCTCACAAAGACAGCGATCTAACCCACTCAGCCACCGAGGCTCCACAAAAATGAAAGTCCGACAATCTGTACTTTACAAAGAAAGTGTTATCCCAAATATAACATTTGTTATAAAAGTGTTAGTAGCTCCTCATAGGAGTGTTCACAATGATTTTACCCTTATAGGAGGGTTTACAATCAATCATTGTGAGCTCTCATGTGAGGTTTTACAATCATAATAAACCAAACTGCAAGGGATTACATTTAAACTGGGAATTCAACCATTTAAAAAAACCCTCACTGGGTTACACAAACGCATCAGAGGTTTATAAGTGAAAGGTATCCCTGTATGAGACAGTGGACGGCATATATCCTTCTGTCGCTCATGTTGGTCTTTGGTTCCAGATACAGGGCGAATTCCTTCGGTGCCAAGTCCGACGTGGACATGTTTTGTCGGGAGGTTGCCATCTTGGCCAAGTTGAAGAGCTCTTATGTCATCAACTTCGTCGGAGCTTGTTTGGATGACCCTAGTGTAAGTAGATTCAGTGACATTGATACCATAGTGTCTTTTAGGTGTCTGATATGTTATGAATCCCCAGGTCTGTCACTTGTCTTCAAGGAAATAGTATGACACTCGCTCTTTCTCTTCTGTAGTTAAAAATATTTATTGTTCACACAAAGGAAGGGAGGTTTTAAAAAAATCCAATCAGAATGATCTCAGTAACACATTCTGTTATTTCTGAAAGTGTCATTGTTTTCTATTGGGGATAGAATATATTTTTATGTCTGGCCATTCCAAATTTTGTGTTTGTCTTACAATTTAATTTGAATTGATAAGAAAATTTATAGGCTGTTGAAAAAAATTATTTTCCTTTAGAATATGTTCATTGGTGGGGATGTGATTAAATAGAATAAATAAATTGCAAGTGATTCTGTGGCATTTGATTGGCTGACAAAGCAACATAATCAGTTTGGGAATATATTTAATTTATGAGAATTTACTTCAATATGTTTTTGCATTTATGAAGTAATTGATGTAAAAAGCAGTCTGGACCAGACAATCCAGTGATTGATATCATGAGCTTTGATCCACACGATTTGGATACGATGCATCAACCAGGTCAGCGAGTCTGACCACTCGATCCCGTTAGTCGCTTCTTACAACAAGCATAGTCGCCTGTTACGGCAAGCATGTGTTGCTCAAGACCTATTCTACACCGGATCTTCACGAGTTAACTCTTCAATGCACATTTACACACGTTTTATGTTTTTACCTCCATGAACAAAAAAAAATTTGAAATATTTTTTTCTTTGCTTTGACTTTTCTTATTAAACTTATCCAAGTTAGCGCAGTGGTTAAGAAAATATGTAGTACATATACCCTATGTTCTAGAAGTTAAATTGGTCTTGATTCATATTTTATATGTTTGATTTCCAGCAATTTGCCATCGTGACTCAGTACGTGTCTGGTGGCTCCCTCTTTAGCCTGCTCCATGAACAGAAGAGGTGAGTCCCGTACAAAACACAAACTTACGCATGAATTATCTGAACTTTCATCTTGTCAGTGTGCACAGTAGGCATTCATGTTGATGACATCATGTGACAACAGCTTAGTCCATAACTTGATTCATGGAATTACTGAGACACTGGTGTGTGGATTGATGGACCGTATTCGACGTAATAAGCGCCCAGCTCTAATAAGCGCCCATGGCGATATTTGCTAATATATTGGCCAGTGAACAATCCCAATTAGCACCCCTTCCGATTGATCAATGTACACAAGACTTATTGATTCGTGTATAATACTCACTCGTGTGTCATATGCACCCTTAATTGTGGCAATTAAATTCTCGAAAAATATATCTGTCGTATATAAACATTTCAGGCTGTCAGCATAAACCACGAAATTTATCTTTCAATTCTGTTTTTTTCCACCAAAATAATATTCTAATAAGAGCCCCCTATTTGTAATTTTGAGATCGCCCTGGGCGCTTATTTAGTCAAATACGGTAGTGTGAATTTGGATGTACAAATAGACCCATTCTGACAATGATAATATAATGTAAGATGTCCTCAGAAACCAGTTGAAAGCACACATGGGTCTTACTATTAGTTTGAAAATGTAATCATTGCCTTGAAGAGACCTCAAAAAGTGCCTCAGATATAGTGGCTCTAATTTCGTATATGAACCGTGGACCAGGTAATTCATGTCATTGGTTTGTCTGGTCAAGGATGCCTTCATATTGTTTGAATATTGCTGCGTACAATAATAAACAGCAAAGAAGACACAATTTATGGATAACAACTTCTTTATTTACTGTAAAGGCGATGTTTCAGCATAGATCCTTTTTCCAGTGTCAAGCAAGGCTGAATCAAGGGTATAAGGATCTATACCGAAACGTCGCCTTTACAGTAAATAAAGAAGTTATTATCCTTAAATTGTCTCTACTTTGTCATTCGTCAACTTCTAAGTAATGCCTTTCAAACAAATCATTGGCTAACAAACAAACAAACAAACAAACAATAATTGGAGGAGGTTTAATTTCAGGTTGATAGACATCCAGTCCAAACTGACGATAGTTATCGACGTAGCGAAAGGCATGGAGTACCTCCACAATCTCCCTCAGCCAATCATCCATCGGGACCTCAACAGCCACAACATCCTGTTGGACGAGAACGGACATGCCTTGGTCGCCGACTTCGGAGGTAGGTGTCAGAAAATGGCAGACAACGATTTTATCGTGTTTACACTAGCGGGGGATATGGGATTTTCTAGCAGAATGGGCCAGTACACCACATCTGAGTGAATGTTCAGTTCATAAAATCTTATACACCCTACTTGTGACACATGTCATAAATTTGTCCTTGCATGTTCACAAGTACAGACTTATCTTCAGTTAAATATGTTTGTGTGATAATATCAGATCTGCCATATGACCGCCAGTTGGTTCAGTTGAGTAACTCAAAATCCCACATTGTGACCAGGGTCAGGCAATGACATCATTACAAACACTATGCTGTCTAGCTTGTATGGGTTTTTACAGGAGTGAGTGAGTGAGTATGGTTTTACGCCGCTTTTAGCAATATTCCAGCAATATCACAGCGGGGGACACCAGAAATGGGCTTCACACATTGTACCCATGTCGGGAATCGAACCCGGGTCTTCGGCGTGATGAGCGAACTCTTTAACCACTAGGCTACCCGACCGCCCCCGTTTTTACAGGAAGGCAAATAGACAATAAGATAGCTGGGTTGATAAAAAGTAGTACCAGGCCTGAATATTTACTTTGTGTTAAACTACCAAACTGGATTTCTCTTTACCTGGGCAATATCTAACTGCAGTGTTATCAAAATTAGTAAAGTATTGCAAATTGAGATCGCAACCATTGCTGTTAAATTTGAAGGATTTTCCTAACAAAATAAAACTATTGTATGAATTGGCAACCAAATTAACTTTTGTTTTACTGGAGTGAGTGAGTATGGTTTTACGCCGCTTTTAGTAATATTCCAGCAATATCACGGCGGGGACACCAGAAATGGGCTTCACACATTGTACCCATGTCGGGAATCGAACCCGGGTCTTCGGCGTGACGAGCAAACGCTTTAACCACTAGGCTACCCGACCGCCCTGTTTGACTGGACATAAGGTGTGCTATCTTTGTTTCCAGAGTCCAGGTTCCTGAGATCGACAGAAGAGGACAACATGACGAAACAGCCAGGGGTAGGAACAGTCGTCATACACCTGTACTCAGGGAGCCTTGTTCAAGCCTTGGGGTTTTAATCGTTTGGTTTACAGATTATTTGTTTTACTCCTGTTGGGCCAGAAGTCAAAATAAATATATAATTCAGAAAGTTGTGAATCAGGTGAAATTAAAAGGAAAAGAAATAAAGTAAAGGGGTTGTCTGACCAACTTTGAACTTGTGAACACTTTGAATGAAGAACAGAAGACATTACTAAAGGTTTTGATAGTATGAAATAAACATTCACACACTCTTTGTGAGTGTGTGAATGTTTCCATCAAATCGTTAAAAGTTTTATATATTTCTATTATGATACAACGAAGCCAATCCCAAACTGATTTTTAGAAAATATTAAAAAGTTAATCCTACCAACCTTACTAGTTACTCAGGTAAAGGTACAAGATTACTCAGTACTCGAAACACAATTGATACTAAATTACTTCATGTCAGAATCTGCGTTGGATGGCGCCGGAGATCTTCACTCAGTGCACCAAGTACAGCATCAAGGCAGATGTCTTCAGTTTCTCCCTGTGTCTCTGGGAGCTGCTGGCCGGGGAACTGCCCTTCGCCCACCTGAAGCCAGGTACACTCTACCCCTGCCCTTAGCACACCTCAAACCAGGTATACTCTACTCCTGTCCCCCTCAAGACAGGTACACTCTACCCCTGCCCTTAGCCCACCTGAAGCCAGGTACACTCTACCCCTGGCCACCTGACGTCAGATACACTCTACCCCTGCCCACCTCAAGCCAGGTACACTTTACCCCTGCCCACCTCAAGCCAGGTACGCTCTACTCCTGCCCACCCCAAGCCAGGTACACTCTACTCCTGTCTCCCTCAAGCCAGGTACATTCTACTCCTGCCCACCTGAAGCCAGTTACACTCTACCCCTGCCCACCTGAAGCCAGGTACTCTCTACTCCTGCCCACCTGAAGCAAGGTACACTCTACCCCTGCCTACCTAAAGCCAGGTACACTCTACCCCTGCCCACCTGAAGCCAGGTAGATTCTACCCCTGCCCACCTGAAGCCAGGTACGCTCTTCCCCTGCCCACCTGAAGCCAGGTACACTCTACCCCTGCCCACCTCAAGCCAGGTACACTTTACCCCTGCCCACCCCAAGCCAGGTACACTCTACTCCTGTCTCCCTCAAGCCAGGTACATTCTACTCCTGCCCACCTGAAGCCAGGTAGATTCTACCCCTGCCCACCTGAAGCCAGGTACGCTCTTCCCCTGCCCACCTGAAGCCAGGTACACTCTACCCCTGCCCACCTCAAGCCAGGTACACTCTACCCTTGCCCACCTCAAGCCAGGTACACTCTACCCCTGCCCACCTCAAGCCAGGTACACTCTACCCCTGCCCACCTGAAGCCAGGTACGCTCTACCCCTGCCCTTTGTCCACATACTACTTGTCTTCTCGTTAAGGTAAACCGGAGCACAGTCAGGTTAATTAATTGAGTTAAAGTACTTCAGCTGAAGTTATAATCGGTGACTCTTTTATACACGAGGTGTCAAGAAGTCCATGTGTGTCATAATAAAAGTTCATGTATCCTGACGCCACATGCTTTCGAGCCTTACCTCTTTTCAACCCCTTATGAAGATGTGACCATGCACTTCATGATGTATTCAAGATTGACGCTTCAAAGTCCATTGAAGACATCAAAGTGTTCGCCACTTGCCGCAGAAGTTATGTTACGAATAAAGTTACTTCGGGTATGATTTTCAACACGTAATGAAAACATACTTTAAAACTTACTTTTTCACTCATGTACATTTTCATCAAACTTGATCTGATGATAATTTTAGCATCAAAACAATCGTATGCACCGATGATGTTTCAGCTGGTGTTTTTAAACTTCCTGTCTGTTATGTCATGTGACTGATCATGTTGTGCATTTATTTATAACTTGACTGTGATAGAGGGGCTCAAAATAATGTGACAGTAACAAGATGGCGTCTGATCAACTCGTCTCGCTAAGTGAGACATTATCATTATTGAGTTAAGATATGGTCAATTGACCATCCAAGTGTAAACAGAAATAAATGATCTCAAAGATGAGACTTAATTTTAGTGTATTGGCATTGTTATTAGACACGTAATCAGGAGAAAACTTCTCAGCAGCCCGAAACACAGTCCTCAAGGATATGTCATGGCAGAGGTTAAGGAGTGACAAGAAGTTAGTAAGAATCAGTCTGAGAACTGAGATTCACTGTCACTTTTTAATGTGCTTGTACAAAGGCTTGATGTTTTGACAGTTTGTGCAACAATGTTACGATATTTGGTACACATTAGGTAGAAGAGGTGATATATCTGTTAGCTCCCACAGCCATCACTACATCTCAATATGGGGTCCTGGGACCCGTTCCAGACAGTGATTTTAACGCTACAATAGTCGTATGTCTATGTTGACTTAGCTACGATTGCATGGTGGAACGAACCCCTGGACATGTTCAATCGTTTGTTTCCTGATTGTCATTGCGTCTGTCACGTCCACTTGTTCCAGCGGCTGCAGCGGCAGAGATGGCGTACCACAACACCCGTCCTCCAATCGCCATCACCTTCCCCAAGCCCATCGTGGCCATCCTGCAGCGGGGCTGGCATGCTAATGCTGATGTAGGTATTGGTGGGAGACAGTTCACTTGTTTTTATTCTTTGTTTGTTCTTGTTTAACACAGGACTCAGCAAAATTGCAGCAATATGTGAGCCAATCTCATTAAAATCAGACCTTAGTTCTCAGTACCGCTAAACAAAGATCTGAAGACATCCCATTCGGGGTCATGTCAGAACGACCTTTCATCCGACCAATCAGTGCGTCGCTTACCAGATTATGAGAGTGACAGTCGGAATGTGATTTCTAATCATGCAATCTCGAAAACCTTAACACGGGGTATTCCGAACAATAGTTATGGGTTTAACGACTGAATCCATACAATCTAGACCATCTATTAGCCATTCCAGAATGTTTTTTTGTTCAGGTTTCAAATTTGTAATCGAGAATTTGTCAAAATATGTTTCGACGCGTAGTCGCCAATTTGAAATTTGTGCCGTAAAGCACGAGAAAGCTGCCTTCTGCCTTCTGGTCGGTCAAAGTTCGTGCAAGGTCGGTCTGACGTGACCCGTAATGGGATGTCCTCAGATCTTTGTTTAGCGGTAGCGAGAACAAAGATCTGATTTTAATGAGATTGTATGTGAGTGATTTGTAAATAAGCAAGCATTGATTCCGGGTTCTGATGGGTCCAGCAATCATGCTTGTCGTAAGAGGCGACTTTATGAGTTGGTCATGTTTGGTGTAGTGTTTGCAATAAGCGCCTGCCCACAGACCCATGGCAGGGAGATCTTGTATTGGGCCCGTAGTTTCAAATTTGTATGGGTCCTTATGGCCTGAAGTAAATTTATGTGTATCACAAAAAGTTGGTGGGTTTTAAATGAGGGCCTGAAGAGTTTAGTCAGGGTGTGGGTCCTGATGGCAGTCTGGCAATATTTTTTTTTATTTCAAACCGTGGTTGGGTGACTTGGTTGATAGCTTGCCATTATTCCCCGATGGCATGGATGGCTGCTTATATCAATCACTGGTTTGTCTGGTCCAGATTATTTACAGGCATCCATCATATAGCTGGAATATTGCTGACAGCAGCATTAAACAACATACAACAGTAGTATTATCATTTGCTTCCCATCTAATGGGGGGCACAGGTGACCTAGTCGTATAGGGTGCCCCAATTTGCTTTGCAGAGTTGCATCCCTTGGGCATGCCAGAAGCGTTTCAGATCCTGATTCGCCCTGATTATGTTTCTAGGTTTGTCAGCACCATACTTGGCTCATGTGCTTCACCAAACTGGTAAATGTATAAGACCTGCATCACTTCAGGCTTTCCTCCCACATTGAGATGACATGCTGTGGTATAACTGGAATACTGTTAAAAGTGGCGTTTAACCCTACTCACTCAGTCACTCTATCTAATGTATGACTATGCATTTATTCAAGGTTAGTACTTCTCATAGGCAAATGCTTATTTATTTTGGTTAACCCAACGTTTACTCAGGTAGCCCAACGTTTACTCAGGTAGCCCAACATTTACTCAGGTAGCCCAACGTTTACTCAGGTAGCCCAACATTTACTCAGGTAAGCCAACGTTTACTCAGGTAGCCCAACATTTACTCAGGTAGACCAACGTTTACTCAGGTAGCCCAACGTTTACTCAGGTAGCCCAACGTTTACTCAGGTAGCCCAACGTTTACTCAGGTAGCCGAATGTTTACTCAGGTAGCCCAACGTTTATTCAGGTACCCCAGTGTTTACTCAGGTAGCCGTACGTTTACTCAGGTACCCCAGTGTTTACTCAGGTAGCCCAACGTTTATTCAGGTACCCCAGTGTTTACTCAGGTACCCCAGTGTTTACTCAGGTAGCCCAATGTTTACTCAGGTACCCCAGTGTTTACTCAGGTAGCCCAACGTTTATTCAGGTACCCCAGTGTTTACTCAGGTAGCCCAACGTTTACTCATGTTCCCCAACGTTTATTCAGGAATCCAGTGTTCATTCAGGTTCTCCAAGGTTTACTCAGGTAACCCAATGTTTATTCAGGAACCACACGTTCATTCAGGTAAGCCAACATTTACTCAGGTAGCCCAACGTTTACTCACGTAACCCAATGTTTATTCAGGAACCCAACGTTTACTCAGGTAAGCCAACGTCTACTCAGGTAAGCCAACGTTTACTCAGGTAGCCCAACGTCTACTCAGGTAAGCCAACGTCTAATCAGGATGTATGTTCTGTTACAGGAACTCACGTAACCCAATGTTTATTCAGGAACCCAACGTTTACTCAGGTAAGCCAACGTCTACTCAGGTAAGCCACCGTCTATTCAGGATGTATTCTGTTACAGGAGAGACCCGAGTTCCGTGAATTCCTGCCCGTCATGGAGGAGTGCAAACAGTCGCAGGCGGTTGCCATGCTTAGTAATGCAGATTCCGGGGCCACATTATCCTTTCCCACTTCGTTGCCAATGGTAACGGACACGGACTCGGACCAGGAAGGTCGGTCGACCCCACCACTAACGGGACACGTGTCGGCCATGAGGAGCCACTGGGAGCAGGAGGCATCACGCAACAGGTAGTCGCAGACGGATCACAATGTCCATGTTAAAAGTCAAGTCTTTTCAAGGTTGACATAAATAATCAAGGCTTTTCAAGGTTGACATAAATAATCAAGTCTTTTCAAGGTTGACATAAATAATCAAGGCTTTTCAAGGTTGACATAAATAATCAAGTCTTTTCAAGGTTGACATAAATAATCAAGTCTTTTCAAGGTTGACATAAATAATCAAGTCTGTTCAAGGTTGACATAAATAATCAAGTCTTTACAAGGTTGACATAAATAATCAAGGCTTTTCAAGGTTGACATAAATAATCAAGGCTTTTCAAGGTTGACATTATAATTGGAGGCCTAAAACATATCACCAAAATTCCTTGAAAAGCCTTGAATCTGTACAAAATGACATATACTCGTTAATAAGAGTATCAAAATTCATCACACACTTAATATATGTTGGTTGTGAAAATAATCTAGGATTAGTGTGGTGAAAGTTTCTGTTTTTCTGTTTGATATTTTTAATATTTCGGTTCAGGTTTTATGATCCTAGTAGTCTTTCTGTATTAGATGTGGGGTAGGTCAGTGTTCGGTCAGTACCGGGTACAATGTGTCTCGACCCGTGAAGATCCGGGGTACAATAGGTCTTCAGCAACCCATGCTTGCCGTAATAGGTGACTATGCTTGTCGTAAGAGGCCACTGACGGGATCGAGTGGTCAGACTCGCTGACTTGGTTGATGCATGTCATCCTATCCCAGTTGCGTGGATCGATATTCATGATGTAAATCTGGATTGTCGGGTCTAGACTGGATTATTTACAGACCGCTGTCATGTAGCTGGAATATAGCTCAGTGTGGCGTTAAACAACATACAAACAAACAAAACAACGTGTCTCTGTATCTGTGCAAGATCCTGTGGTGAGACCGGGTTAGATTGTTTGTTTGTTGTTTATTTGTTGATAAACGTCGCACTCAACAATATTCCAACTGTTTGGCAGCATCGGTAAATAATCAAATCTAGACCAGACAATCCAGTTATTAACATCATGATCATCGATCTACGCCATTAGGGTATGATTAGATGCATCAACCAAGTCAGCAAACCTGACCACCCGATCCTGTTAGTCGCCTCCTACGACAAGCATAGTTGCCTCTTATGACAACCATAGTTGTTTTTTACAACAAGCATGGATGGGTTGCGGAAGACCAGTTCTAACCTTGACCTTCACGGGTATAGGTTTAGACTAGCTCCCCAGTTAGAATTGGACCCCAGAAGCCCATGCTTGTCGTAAGAGACGACCAAATAGATCAAGTGGTCAGGCTCGCTGACTTGGTTGAATGCAGAGGCCCTGCATTATCAATGGATCAGTGTGCTCTCAGATTTCGTTCTCAGCTCCCTGGGAGTATACAAAGTAAGGTTGAAGTTATGTTGTAATTAAGTGTACCCAGAACAACAGAATATATACTGACACCCTTCTGTTCAATCATACAGTAATTGGTATCATCTCTATTTTAGAAACAATGTGTCAGAAAAAGTTATGTTTTCTTTATCCAGACCAGCATACCTCCTGATGTTGTTGGGGCGGTCGGGTAGCCTAGTGGTTAAAGCGTTCGCTTGTCACGCCGAAGACCCGGGTTCGATTCCCGACATGGGTACAATGTGTGAAGCCCATTTCTGGTGTCCCCCGCTGTGATATTGCTGGAATATTGCTAAAAGCGGCGTAAAACCATACTCACTCACTCACTCACTCACTCACTCACTCCTGATGTTGTGGATGTGTGAGACTGGGTTGGTTCCTACTTTTTTTTTAAATCGTGTTCCATGTTTCAGTGTTCCCCCAGGAGAAGAACAAAGAAGACGACTTCCATTCCCACAACTTGACAAAAATGGTGAGAACTGGTTGATTTTTCTACAAACGCTTTATGATAAGTACAGCTGCTATTGCTGAATCTTGTCCTCCTTGTGCGGAATCAGAGGTCTCAGGACCAATTGCACGTCTTCAAGAGGATTAGGGGCGGTCGGGTAGCCCAGTGGTTAAAGCGTTCGCTTGCCATGCCGAAGACCCGGGTTCGATACCCGACATGGGTACAATGTGTGAAGCCCATTTCTGGTGTCCCCCGCCATGATATTGCTGGAATATTGCTAAAAGCTGCAAAAAAAACCCACTCACTCAAGAGGATTAAAAAATAATATTGAAAAATCTACATTATTCATATTAGATTTATTTGGTTGTTGTTTCACAGTTAAGTCACAACATCGCGTTTGTTTGTTTAATTGTTTGTTTAAAGCCAAACTCAACAGTATACAAGCTCCATCGTGACTGTCATATGAGTCTGCACTAGACTGTGAAGCCCATTTCTGGTGTCCCCCCGACCTGATATTGCTGGAATATTGCTAAAAGCGGCGTAAAACCATACTCACTCACTCACTCACTGCACTAGACAATCCAGTGTTTTAGGTTTATAGAAACATAAACTAGAACCGTTTAGCCAATCAAATGCCACAGAATCACTTGAATTTGTTTTAACGTGAATTTGCAATATAAACTTTGGCATCACTCACTCACTCACTATGCAGAAAGTCTGTATTCCCCCTGTCAGACCCATTACGTTTAATTCTCGGAACAGTCCATAATCATGTGAAAACTGTTTTTCTGTCTTTTCAGGTTACGTGTCGGACCCACTGAGCACACTCCGAATACCGATCAATTTACCACGACAATCTCCGCCCATCTGTACACGCAACATGTCCGAAAGCCCGCCCATAGATCACTCATGACAGCATGTTACCATGGTTACATCACAGTCAGCTGACACTATCCACTGTCTTAGCCACACATATAACATCATTTTTCTAGCAGTACAAACCTGTATAAGTAATATCTTTTAGAGTTGTTTGTAATTTTAAAATATCTAATTTTAGTAAATGTTAAGACTTAAATCTTTGTACAGAATAGCCTATTCAGGTGATATGATCATGTTTCTTAAAATCATGTTTCTGTACTTTCTATGTCCGTGTTTACAGCATGCACTGGGGCACGGGTGGCACAGTTGTCTTAGGGGCCGCAGTCTGTAGAGCAGAGTTGCCTCCCTTAGGCATACCAGAAACCTGTGACCATGGGTTGGATCCCACTTTGTCTCAAAATACAATACCGTATTCGACGTAATAAGCACATCGGGCTCTCTCAAAATTAGAAATAGGGGGCTCTTATTAGAATATTATTTTGGTGAAAAAAGCAGAGTTGAAAGATAAATTTCGTGGTTTATGCTGACAGCCTGAAATGTTTATGTATGACAGATATATTTTCCACAATTTAATTGCCCATAATTAAGGGTGCATGTAACACACGAGTGCGTATTATACGCGAATATATATAAGTCTTGTGTAAATTGATCAATTGGAAGGGGTGCTGATTGGGATTGTTCACTAGCCAATATATTAGCAAATATCGCCATGGGCGCTTATTAGAGCGGGGCGTTTTTTACGTCGAATATGGTATCTCAATGTTATATTGACGGGCCCCAGAACTTTGAGTTTACTTCAGTGATTTAAGGATGAACCTAACAAAAAGGAAAGTAAATTTAATCTCACCACAGCATCATGTCGAAGTAACATCGACATCATCCATCTTTCTTATCTCCACCTTAGCACAGGGTTTCTGTCGTTCCTGAACTGCCTCCATGGTCTAGTGGATAGAGTGTCTGCCCGGAGAGTGGAAGGTCTGGGGTTAGATACCCAGGGTGTCATACCAAAAGACATTGTTACCCTGCCTGGCACTTGGCATTAACAGGGAGACTGAGTGTCTAAGTGGGATATGCATGTTAAATCACAGCATGGTATCTCAGTGGGCTAGAGCTATAAAACCGAATACCTCTCTTGAAGATAACAACACAAACTTGCCAAATTAGTTAGAATGTGTTTCATGTGAAAGGTGTTTTCAGTTTTCGTACTCAGTAGGTGGGTCAGTCGGTGACTTGGTTATATTGTGTCTCATCATGCCCGTCAGCATGGATTGTTGCTCATGACGTCAATCACTGGTTTGTTAGGTCCAGACTTTATTATTCCTGGAATATCTGCTGACTGTGGTGCTTAGCTTTGGAATATTTACTGTTAAAAAATACTTTCACTGTCTATAAGTCAGTCCTATGTTGAAGATACTTGTAGTCACGGTAAATCCTGTATGGCCCTGTATGTATTTTGTCAGTGACAATCAGCTCACAAGCCTGAGTGAGTACCTTCCTGATGGAGACACCTGCATAGGTAAGGGGGCACTGCCTGAAGAAGAGATACCCGTTCATTGAAAGGGCACTGCAGCATTAAAGGTGGCACTTCTTGGTTGAAAGGGCACTTTCTGGAGAAGGGGCACCTGTTCATTGAGAGGACACTTCCATATAGAAGGCAGCACCTCCTTGAGAAGGGGCACCTGTACATTGAAAGGGAACCGCCCAGAGAAGGGGCACCTGTTCATTGAAAGGACACTGCCTGGAGAAGGAGCACCTGCTTTGTTGAAAGGACACTGCCTTGAGCTGGGGCACCTGCTTTGTTGAAAGGACACTGCCTGGAGACGGGGCACTTGCTTTGTTGAAAGGACACTGCCTGGAGAAGGGGCACCTGCTTTGTTGAAAGGACACTGCCTGGAGAAGGGGCACCTGCTTTGTTGAAAGGACACTGCCAGGAGAAGGGGCACCTGCTTTGTTGAAAGGACACTGCCTGGAGACGGGGCACCTGCTTTGTTGAAAGGACACTGCCTGGAGACGGGGCACTTGCTTTGTTGAAAGGACACAGCCTGGAGAAGGGGCACCTGCTTTGTTGAAAGGACACTGCCTGGAGAAGGGGCACCTGCTTTGTTGAAAGGACACTGCCTGGAGACGGGGCACCTGCTTTGTTGAAAGGACACTGCCTGGAGACGGGGCACCTGCTTTGTTGAAAGGGAGTTCCGCCTTGAAACACTGCACCTGATTAGAAGAAAGAGCACTGCGTGGTAGAAGGGGGCATTGCCTGGAGAAGGATAGTGTAGCAATACACTGATAGTATTGTCTGTTTGTCAGAGGAAGAATGGCCAGTGTTTCAAATAATACTGTAGAAGGAATAACTTGTATTGATGGATGTGGGGCTAAACAATCTCTTTCTGATTCTCATATTTCTGTTTAGTGTTTACTGAGAATAATGACATTGATATGCTAAAAGTATTTCTACATTGTATGTGACACTATCAATCTTTCATTTGTACCTGATATTATGTTTGTTCCTGTCATGACAAGGAGGTAGCCTAGTGGGTAATGCTTGGCTTGTCCCGCCACACACAAGGCAACACTGTAAACACAGATGTTGTATGCCTGGAAAATTGCTGAAACAGCTTAAAAACCATACGAGTGTATGTCTGATGTTATTTATGCTGCATGTTTTTTGTGCAATATTCTTATCATTTGTAAATGTTCATTATTGTTTGTTTGTTAGTGATGCTTGAGTTCCTATTTCGTGCAGTGCTAGATAGCTTACTTTGACATCATTCACTTTGACAATATCATCGTGTGCGTATATCATAGTCTATTGGTTATGACCTTTGCTGATTCTAAGTTATAGGCGCGAAAGCGAATTTGCTTTTGGTTTCTATGGCTTATGCCCTGCTTATAATGTGCAAGAAGTATTTCATTTACAAACCTGATATTTGAGCAACCACAAAATATATTTAATTGAACCTAACACATCCTCCCTCATAAGTGAAGCACCACTCAGAGTGTTTCTGTTAACAAGTCAATGAATTACAGTCATATTTTCACATATCCAAACAATTTGGGTTGTCTCTCATACAGACACTGGAACAGAAATAATGGAGACACCCAAGCAAATCTAGGATACTTTGGCATGAATAGATTTCTACAGTTTCAACATTGGTTCAAATTGACTGAATTCACACGTAAGTTTTGAAAATGAAGAGAATCTCTGGGCTTATTTCCATGAAATATTAATAGACAATGTAAATAAATTTTGAACAATTTTCATTTCAGAGGAGGACAAAATATTAGTCAACACTTTGGCAGATGTATATTAAGCAGCCCCATGCTTTGAGTTTGTTTCAGAATTTGAACGCTGATGTTGCTCTTTTGTTTTTTTTAAACAATGCTGGGCTTGGACGTCCCAGGGACGTGTATATCTCTTCCATGTCAGTGGTCAAGGCCTTCCAAGGTTATATGCGGAAGAAAGGTTCATGTAGACAATAATTTAAGAAGCATTTACTGTACGAAGGTCGCTAGATATTCTGTTTTAAACATGTCTTGTTTTCCTTAACCATAAGTGTTGTCATTAAAATGGATTTGCTCATAACTTGGTTTAAGGTAGATATTACGACAGGACTTTCTGTTTCAAAGATGTAATGCCTTGGGCACATGTCTTCCCAAACTTGAAGTAATGTAACTGACCTGGAAGTGTCGATAAGTAGAGAGAGCCACAGTTTTGAAGCATCCAGGAAAATGTAGGGATGGGTCTGCTACTGATTTTGCATGGAATACAAACACCTTTGTTATTACCTAAGTGAGTTATCAGACTTGGCATGGATTTTTTCTTCTTAAATTTGAAGTTTTTTCTCCTAATTGGTAAAATGTTGCTTACATGTCTGTTAACAAAGTAGTAATTAAGAAATCTTGATGTGTTTTAAATAAGACACCGGTTACATGGAGGAAGACTTAAAGAAGACGCCATTCACAGAAACAGATGCTGTCTTAACATGCAGTACAGAATGTAACAAATCAGTAGTGCTCAACATTGAAGGTGAGCTTCAGTGCCTAATGTCTGGCAGGTCCAAAAGCATTACTATCTTGTAAAGTTCATACTGAGAGTATGAGATATTTGGACCTCCAAAACAGTAATAATTAAACCAAAACTTGAAGGAACAAATACATGTATGGTTTTTTTCATCGTATGTAAATTGTATTTTAATAAATACAACTTTTTTATTAAAATTATATGAAACAATAGTTTTGTGTGTTATTTGTACTCAGTTCATTAGCTGGAAGAAATAGCCATCTACATAATCATGAGTAATTTTTAACAACATAAGTGTGATTTGTGTCACTCATGGCAAGACATTTGCAAGTGGTTTTAGGAGGGTCCTGATGGGTTTTAATGCTTAAACACCCTTCAAACACTATCGTAAACATAAAATTCATCTTTTTTTATCGTAAATGCTTAACGGAAAAATACCCATAAATAACTGCTTAACGTAAATAAATAATTTACTGCTTATCGTAAAATGATTAAAATGGTCAAAAACAGTCTGTCTTCATGACCCAAATGCTTCGCCACAGAAAGCAGGCTGTGCAACTGACGCAGGGGACCAGTCTAGAATGTATAGCGATTTGAGATTTTACCCGGTATTAAAAATATGAATTGTCAGGATGAAACGAAAGGTAAAATAACCTGGTGATAATATTATAATATTTGTTGAAAAATTCATTTGGCATTTTTGTGAAACAAATATGCAACCCTAAAAATATTTTGTGACAATTTTATTGAAAAAGAAGAAAAATTACTGCTTAATGAAAAAGTACCCTAAATTTTACTGCTTACTGCTTATGGGATCCCCCCATCAGGACCCTCTTTAAGACTGTCTTCATGTTCTAACTGTCAGACACTGTTTTGGCACATTCCTATCCGGGGCATGGTGCTCCAGGGATCCAAAGCACCATATTTCTCTGTGAAGAGTTATGCCCCTTAGTTATGCAAGTATCCTGTGGTTGTTCAAATGACATCACAATCTCCATGGTAAATATCTAGTACCTGCATCACATCAGGCTTCATGCTCACAGGTCCTGATATAATTGGAATACTGCTGGAAGCAATGGCCAACCATGTTCATTCACTCTGATGTGTTCAGAATACTGCCCTGCATAGAATCACATTTGCTCATCCAGGGTAGAATAGGTCTTCAGCAACCTATTCTTGTCGTAAAAGGTCATGAACGCATTGGGTGGTCAGGCTCGCTGTCTTGGTTGATGCATGTCATTGTAATCCAATTACATTGATAGATGCTCATGATGTCAATCACAGGATTGTCTGGTCCAGACTTGATTATTTACAGACCACCGTCATAAAGCAGGAATATTGCTGAGTGGTGCTAAACAACAAAGAACAAAGAAACAAACAGACATCCACTCACTCACCCATCACCTTCGCTGTCCCTATCCTTCTTCAGCCCATCATGATGATGCGTCTAGGTTGTGGGTATGTAATGCTTGGTGTTCCCGGGTGACCCAACTTGCGTCCCT